ATTTCTTGATGCAGTACAGGAATACTGCTCATTCAATTACTGGTAAGAGTCCAGCAGAGCTATTCAAATCGAGATCCTTACGCACGAACCTGGAATGCACTCAAGGGAAAGCAGATTGATAATCTGGGGGTCATTCTCCGGAAAAACCACGCCAGCTAAGCTGGCACAGTCAATCATTAGGAATGTCCTTACCGAGCCTCACCAGGTGCTACAAGCAGAATGGTTACGCCAGAAGGGAAGCAAGCGAACGCTTGGGCTGCTCGTCACTCTCTCTTCTCCATCTGACGTACAGAAGATCTTGGATCGGGCTGACGGCATTCAGAAGGCCAACCCAATGGTCGGGCGTCTATCTGAGGATCGTCCTCTAGACGCGCGAAAGCTGGGACACAACAGGTCAGGGGTAGAGGCAAGAAACATGCTTCTGCTGGGCACCAATTCAGTCGACCCCAAACTCATGACCAAGCCGATTGTGGTCATATCCCGTTGTGCTCCCGAAAGCAGGCTGACGAAACCAGCTGCTTCTCCGGACAGCAGTTTTTATTCGACCACCACAGGCCTCTCGCCCACCAAAGGCAGGGACGCCCTGGAGGAGGTAAACCCCACATGCAAGCAGCGCCCAAACTACGTGGAGCTATCAACGCTTATCTCCGTATCAGAAGGCACAAATGCAGCCGCGCACTCGTCAGCAAAGTCACAGCCTCTGAATTGGACTGAGTCAGATGTGCGGGGACACGAAGCGAAGCAAATCTCCAGCTCCACTCCGTCAAAAGCGGCTTCTCTTTTGGGGCCACAACCGTCGCCCAGGACCCCGACAACCAAAGCCTTAAATATGACGACAGCCATCCGGAAAATCCCTCGTATATCCAGTTGGCCTCGCTGATCGACGGCGGATCGGGTGTCCACACAAACACGAAAGAAGATCCACCGCAGCCAAACAAGCCACATAAATTTCGCCAAATTAGAGAACTGCTGACTGACTTCAAGGTGCAGTCCTCCGCGAAAATGGGCCTCTTGGGCGCGCCACCAAAATCATTGATTCTTGGTGCCCCCACCCAGCGCTCGGGGCCTCATGGGGACACTTTTCCGGTCAAACCGCGACAAAATACCCAAGGATCCAGAAAGGCGAAATCTTGCGGCAAATCTTTGATCAACAGCAAATCTGGTGGACGAAAAGGGGATGCTAAAAGAGCTACAAACAGCATCGGTCGAAATTTCCGCCCATGGGGAAAAACTCCGTCCCCCAAAGCCAGAAGGCCCGAGCGAACCGAGCTCCCACGGAACGGAAAAAACCTCCAAGGCGAAAAGCACCCCTAGGAACCACAAAGACAGGAAGCAGACAACATTGCCCCAGAGGTTCCTTTGAGGCCTTGGACTTAAACGTGGTGCA